ACGCCCCTCCCTGCTACCAGACAAAACCTGCCCCCCAAAACCATAACATCAGCAGAGAGCCATTTCTGGAGCCTGGATTCAGAGTGGCACTCGACAAACCAGGGCTCCACCTGACAGACTGGGGTACAGAAGCCCACCGCTCCACCAGCATGTCCTTCCCCTGGGGTCCCCCCCCCCGGGGATGTGCTCCATCTGTGCAGCTTGAACCCGTGGCAGTCTGAAAGCTCAGGAAGGCACACAACTCCTCCTCCCAAGCCCAGCATCCCCAGGCACTGGGACACAGCGCTCACACTGTCCTTGAGCACTGGGTGTGGAGTGTTAACCAACAGGACTCTGGCATCCTTCAGCCTTTACTGACCCAACCCTCACAGGCACACAGCACCAGCAGCAGAAACACCCTCTGGGCAAGAAAGGGATGAATTCCCGCTTTTTTGCTGCTTTGTTCTCAGTTTTTAACTACGGACCTAATTGCACATGGACTTTTTTTGGTTTGCTGTGGCAAGTATTAACCAGACAAGAGCTGTACATAGTTTTTTCCCCTTCACAAGAGAGTTTCTATGCAAATACTGAAGGATTAATATGAAAATATGATATACTCTTCTAAACAATGGTAATAGCTTGGAGGTGCTCAACAATGCCACTGGAAAAACCCAGACCACGTATCAGTCACGAAGGCTTTCACGCCCTGATGAAACGCCAGGGCTGCAGCAGCAGGATGATGCTCCAGCATCAAAGCGAGCACAAACGAGATCCATGGGCTGGACGATGACCAACAGGAAGAAGCTCATGTGACTAAAAGAGATGGTATTTTGGTCAAATAACAGTAAGAATATTAAAATGGTTGAGACAGATTTCTTAGGCTGTGGAACTTCAAGGTGAATCTCTCCACACAAGGGCTGACAGACGACAGCAACTGCCTCCTGATGGGAGAGTCCAGCAAGTACAATGGAGCTGGGACAAGCTCAAATCGCAGGCACACAATCCCAGAAACACAGGCAGCCACCGCACACAGCTCAGTAAGTCATTTCAAATTCAGATCACACCTTCGAAACCTGGTTTTGACATTTAACTGATCAGCAAAACGAACACTGTTTGACTGAACCCTGAAACACGCACTGGGATCTGCCATCGGCAGCAGAAGTTTCTCCAGGCTTCCCAAGCCGGGCTGTAGCAGAGCAGTGCACCCTCCAGCCTTAAAACCCAGGAGTTCTACAGGAGTCTTAAGAATGAAATCGGGAAGTCTCTTAGGACAAGGGAATAAACTTTCCTGGGGAAACTGAGAGGGGAAGAGATGATACCAGAAATGCATCTGAAGGCACATCAATTCCTGCCCATGCCTTCAGGCACTTTCCTCCCCAACACTCCCTCGCTTCTCCCCTTCCTGTGCCCATGTATTTTCTCTGTGTGGATTGTCCAAATACGTCAAAAGCTCCTTCCTTTGCATTAATGCTAAACCTCAACTGCTAGCCCACTGCTACACTGGCAGAACACATTTCCACCTGAAAATTGCATAGATTACGTGTCTTTCTCGATGCAGTTTGCACTGTACAGCTGACAGCACCTGTCCTTAGGAACTCTTCCAAGAAGCTACACCTTCAGGTCTCTGCACTCTTGGAACAAGCATCCTGGCTTCCCGCTCGTCTCCCAGCAGGAAAGTCTCTCACACACACTTCCAGATGCTCCAGTGCAGCACTGTTCTGGTTAGAGCAGCTTCCTACCCGCAACACTCCAAGTCTTTTGGGAAAGGAATCATCAGAGGGACGAGCCAGCTGCCCCTCTTGCCTCGACACTGCCCAGTGCCCAGCAGCAGCCCTGGTACTCAATTCATTACAATGGAACAAAAATTAGGGTCAGATTAGATATACTAGCTCCTAATACATCACATATATTAGGATTTGTGAATGAAATGTACAAACTCCTTGTTAAAACAATATCCAACATAAAACAATACATAACAGTTTACCCATTAAGAATATTTATGAGACATCTGGAAAACAACAATTTCCGTATTTAGGAGCAGTCAAGATCTATATTCCTATCAAACTACAGTACCTGCATTTCAATACCATGTGAAGAACAAAGTCTAAAATTATTTTATTGAATAATCATTAATTGAAACAAAGACTTTTCTACGACTTAACGAACAAAAACCTATTTATTTATTCCAAACACCAAGATACAGAAGTTTTCGAGTTTTGCAAATATTGCTCCAAAACAAAATTCTGTATACAGCGCCCTCAGCTCTAATAGTGCATAAACAAAGACAAATATACTTATGTATCCACAGTGCAATGTTTGCTCATTTCATCAAGGCTCCACGTTGCATTCACTTACAAGTGATTTAAAGAAATAAAAAAGTGACCTGCCAGACCGAACAGTTGGTCCAGACTAAGAAATAACAATGTGGAAACTTGCAAAAACAAGGACAAAAATTAATCCAGGCAAAGCACAATAAAGAATCTTTCCTGAACATGAGAAATGCTCCTCTATTTTAAATAAATATTTTCAGTCTTTCTCAGCAAGGGCTTCCCTAGCTCTACTAAAGGAAAACAAGTCTCCAGTATGAGTCATTTGATTCACCCATCAAAACCACCTTTTCTTCCAAATCTCAAGTACTGCCCTGAGCAAAAATGAACTGACAAAGTAAAAACGTACAAAAAACACACAAAAAGCAATTGCTTGGGAAGGAGAAGTTCCACTATGGAGTGAAAAGTCTGCTCAGGAATTTAACTGCTCCCACGCCCTCCACTGGCCAGTACAGCTGACCTGGTAACAATGCAGCTACGGTTCTTCTTGAGAGATGCCTGCTCAGAGTGCTTGCGTTACAGATTTCAACCAGGGAACACCTTTCTGGTTGATCTCACCCAAAGAACCCCAAAAACCTTCACAGCTGTGTGGGGTGCTCCTTTGGATGCTGCTCTGGCTGTCTGGTTACTGCTGCCTGCTCTAGAGCTTCATGGCACACAGGAACTCAGGTGGCATTGACAGGAACGAGATGAGGTATAAGCATCACTCTCGCCTTCAGAGAGCAAAGTGATTCTTAAATATCATGTAAGCTTTATTCCAATTGTGTAACAGGAAAATAAGTTCTCTGCTGTACATATGTTGTGTTCACTATGCACCAACTAGTACTATGAAACTGTGAGGCAAATTATTCCCTGAAATGAGTCTTGGCACAAAAGCCTTAGTTACTACCTAGAGTAGTCTAATTATTTTGTTTTCTGAAGGACATAAATACTCACTGCGTAGATACTGTTACCTCCTACAATAATACTGGATATTTCAAGTTTACATTATTTGCAGTATACAAACAGATGCATATCCAAAATTAATAATTTGTACAGTTATGGGCCTTTCAATGACAACTGTGCTTAAATTTTACCCTTTAGTGGTACCATCACACACAATAAAATGAAGGTAACAAATCCAGCTTTTTGAGAACACCCTCTCACTGCAAAAACAGCTTACCATTCTCCACAGTGAACTTAACTTAGCAACATTTGGGAAGGGAAACTAACGTCACAGCCATTGTTCATGGAGCTATGATCTGCAGCTGAATAATTTTTAACGTCTGAAATACTTACAATACACCAACGTTTCAGAAGGTACTGTATAACGTGACTTGAACATCAGCAGCATTTTCACCTTGTTCTCACAAAGAGAAAAATTAAACCAGAAAATTAAACCTTAAAGTATAAAAAGGGGCTTTGTGAACATTCACCATTTAAGATAATAACCCACTCACTGTCTGCTAGGACAGTACCCCATGCATAGATCTTAAGGCTTTATTTACACAAATATAAAATAAACTGATTCCCAAAACCACACATTCATAAAGTAAGTCTTTACAATGAACATGTTCAGAGTATTGAAAAAAGTCTACATTTCAAAATATAACCGGAATGGCAATTATTAACAAACGGGTAGAAAACTACGTAACGTCCATGACAGACCCAGTGGGAGTCTGGAACTCCAAGCGCATCCCCAGTCTTTTCCCGGCAGTATTTCATACCGCCACAGCAAGGGTGCCCCAGCCAGCACTGCTTCAGGAGGCACACTGTGGCCATTTTTAAGAGCTCAAGAATGCACACGACCACGACATTAATGGGCTTCCCCAGTACCAAGCCATGTGGTAGTGACAGAATAAATACGGAAAACAATCATTTATTCTGAAAATAAGTGCAATCTACCTGTGACCTTCTGCTACATTATTTAACATAATAGAAGTGGGGTTTAGGCCACTGTTACTTGGAAACCTCCACGTAACAGTTTATAGTTAAGAGCTGGACATTCATACTTAATAAATCTGAAAATTGTTATAATATTTCCTAATGATTAAATACTGTGTGCTATTATGCATAAACCAGGAGGAATAAAACATGACACAAGTCACTTTAACTATGCAAAGTTATTTACAACCTCTGATAACTAAACATTTTTGGCTCTTAGAACTCTGTTCTTCAGTGGCACAATTTTTAGTCAATTTAACTATGAAAAAATTTACCGTTTCAATGAGCAACTTGTAAGGAGCAAAAATTTAGGTATAATTCATCAACCATCACCCTGCCTCTGAAGACAAGAGTATGACCTCTTCCATATCATTTTAATTGTCTAACAAACCAAAAATTATGATGAGACAAAATAACCTTTTTGCTGTTCTTTGAACAGCACTTCTTCACAAATCCCTGAAGTCAATCTGCATCACATGCAACCAGCATGCTAATTTCATTTAAATTTACAGTTCACATCAGATGCTCCAACTTCACACTCAATAACAGTCTCCAACATCTTCTAGTCTCATGTTGAGCAGCAAAGTGCAATCTGTTGCACTTTGCCTAAGTCCGTTATAAGCTGCTTTATACAATGTTTGAGTTGTGGGAGTCGAGCTAGTGGTTCTGGTGGTTCCAGCTCTCCTGTATAATCCAGCCAGCTCTCCAAAACTGCAAAGAAAAAAAACCCAAAAAACTGTCACTATTTCAGTTCTCAGCAAATAGAACACCTTAAGCCACAAAACAGGAATTCTTTAAATCTTTTCTGAATCTTGAGAGAGCGGAGGGCGATATTTTTAACAAACGGTATTTGAGAAATCAGAAAACCAGGCTCCTCACACCAATCTTTGCAGAAAGAAAAGGAGATGTTCCTAGGAGAAAGCAGGGAAGGGAAACTCAGAAACTCTATTATGAAATTTGGTGCTAAACTTCCTCTGATCTGTATCAATTCCAAAGCAAGGACACTGTGGTACAGGAAGTTTATACCACCAGAATACATGATGCTGTACAAAGAAAATTAATTCCTGCTCTACAGCTTCTGAGAAGGGAACAAGAACCAACCAAAGACAACTCAGACAAGATGAGAAAGGTGGTCACATTGAACCACGACAAGTTCAGGGGATCGGACAGCATTGTGGAAGGAGACTGAAACCTTGAAGACAGAACTCATCTGCCAAGAGAAGCAGCAGTGGCCATTGCCACTAACTAGACTACAGGCTTGTTTAACCTCAGGCAACAGCCGCTGAAGAGCCAGTGGGCATTACCCAACTATTGACACATCCAGCCTTGAAATAAGAAAATTCCTGATCAGAATGATCAGAGTAGCAATGCTCTGTGCAGCTCTCCAGCTCAGCAGCACATACAAAAACCCTGACTTCATTTATGAAACAGGCGTTACAATTACAGGCCTGACTGATCTCCATTACCTGAAATATTTAGTCGTTCAACACTTCAGTACCTCAGTGAACTACAAAGAGAGGACTCTTACTTTGGCAAAGGTTAGGTGCCTGATACCCTTGCAAGAAAAGCTGCTGCTGTAACCACTATACCACCAAAGTTCAGACTCAAAGATGTTAAAAAAAAACCAAAACCAACCATCCTGGATTGTGCAATGCAACACATAAAGGGTTCAGAAGTTTTCCATTACTGGGAAAACAAATTTCAAGAGACATCTAAGTAAATAATTTGGAAGAGACAGGAAAAGATAAGGGCCCTGTGCACCAAAGAGGTCAGCAAGAATATGCTGCAACAGCCAGCAGGCCCCTGAAGAACAGGGAAGTTCAGACAGACAGAAGCACTATGGGAAATGACAAAAAACTGAAAGCAAAAAGACATAGAAGATATTCCACTATATCACCTGACCAAAGTATTTAGAGGTAATCTAACTGTAACTTCTTCTGTAAAATTCTGCTCAGTTTTAATTTGTTCTTTGTTTTATAATCCACACACCCATTATCAGCAGCACGTCTATTTTCTATTAGTAAATGAAGTAAATCTGACAAAGCAACGCTCGTGTCTTTGTAGGTCTGCAAAAGTAGAATTCAAGTTAACATGTTCTGAACATACAGTTAACTTTTGAAATAGAAAAAAGCTACCTACCATCTAGCTCCTTCTCAATGAAATCCATTCTGTGTATGACTTCATCTTGCAGAGACTCCACATGAGCTAAAAGATTGAGCTGCCACTGCAGCTGCGAGTTCACAACTCCTTCTTTGTCTTTTTCCAGCAATTTCCTTTCAATGGCTTCTTCTGGAGAGACTTTCTTAGAGACACACTCTCTTACCTAGCAGAAATACATACATTAATATTTATAACAGTGAAAGAGAATTGGCAAGCCAGACTGTTGGAGTTCTTACAGTCACCCAGGCTAACTGCTCAGCTCATCTTAGGCTAGGAGAGCCTAGAGACACACAGAGACCATACACAAATATTAAAGCAGTTTGGGCAAGAGGATCTAGATACAGACATGTTTTTACAGGTTTTTGCTAAGACCTATCCTTTGCACTTTGCAAGCATCTGATTTTCAAAAGATAACATATATATGCATAGCTGGATCCTTGCGCTGGAAAATATTGCACTTCTGTGCATCCCAGGGAACATCAAAGCCGTTTTTAACATGACAGTAATCAACTAAAGAGCAAATGATTTCGCACTGAGAAGCATTTTTTCCTGAAGGAATCTGATCTCAATTCTACTAAAACTTCCATCAAAACATCTAGGAAAAGAAAAAACATTACCGCCACTTATAAAACTTGAGTACACTGTCAGCAGTGTTGATTCTACTCCCCTAATTTTTTCATCATTCTGCTGAAATACAACAAGATTTAGAAAAAGGCTCCTAAAAGATTGAAGATCTGAAATACATATGTTTCTGGAAAACATAAAGCAATCTCAATTGATTTGACAGAGAAGTTAAAAAGAACATAAATTACAGCTTACATATGCATGGAATAGAAGCCAAACAACCTTTTAAACTAAAGCCAGGCCAGTAGTTCCCAGAGGCTTTTGAACATTTGTCAGGCTGTACTTCATATGATTTGGCGCCAACTAATCTAAGCAAAATTTTTGCACTACACTGGACTTGGGTGCAGAAAAGCCTCAGATGGATCTGATAGAGCTGAAAACAAGAACCGGGAGTTGAAAAGATAAAACTAGAGTGCTCCAGTAGGAAGAAGATACAAGACCATTCAGTGGGGATCATTCTTAAAAAATCACTTCAGGCTACTTCTTTAACACCATGAAATATTGCCCTGAAGAACCTGGAATCAACTTAGTTAATGTAACTATTAAAAGAAGCGTGGGAACAAGATGGAAATAACTACAAGCTGGGACAGTGGATGTGGTAGTATCTGCCAGTAGATCATAATGCGTGTTCAACAGACTGCGCAGATGATCTAAGGTCCGGAAGTCCTCTTCAACCTAGAGGGTTTTGGTTTTTTTTAATTACTATTTGACATGCAGGAGATGATCATGTCTATAATATTAATTTGTATCAGCAATTTAAATTTTACAGTATAGGAATAAACTAAATCCAAAGAAACAAATACTGTTAAAAAGGGCTGAGTTTTGCACTTTGCCAGGCAACACATCCTCCATGCAGAGAGGGTTATTTTAATACAAACACCTTAGAGTAATTGTGTTTGGGTTCATTCTCCATCTTGCATATTTCTTGGTCCAGATTCCAGCCCAATCTCTCTGACAGGGCATCATCCCCATTTTCCCTTATTCTATTTACTCCATCATCCATGGCTGAACCTCTTGTCTCCACAACCAGTCTCTGCTCTATCGCAGGGTAGTAGGCCCGAGGCTTCTGGTAACAGTGTTCACTCGTAATGTACGACTCCTCCACAGAAGGAATGGTTGAGGGTTTCTCAACTGTCCCATTCCAAGTTCTATAACTTGCCGTCTCCTCTTTGCAACAGTTTTCCTCAATATGAATGATGTGTTTTGTATGAATTTTTTCATCCACTGTAATGTGCTTCCATGGATGGCACCAAAGCTTTAGGTCAGGATGTTCTTTATTTCTGTTCAAACATAAGAAAAGTAAAACATCCACCAAATTTAAACTTCAAAGTGACTGAGCAAACTATCCTATTATGCAAAGAAATCAAGTAAGAATATCTGAACTACTACATGCTTTAGTCATCATAATAAGTAAAAAATACCCAAATATTCTGAAATAATATAATTTCACTGACCTCAATGGTGTATCTTCCTACAATGTTCTGTTAGGTTCACTATTTTAATTTTTAGAACATGGCATATAAATCAAGTGTTAGCATTAAGAAAATAAATTGAAGAATTTGTTTCAAATAGATACAGACAACTTTTCATCACTGTTGTCCTTGAAGAAGCACTTTGCTTCAATATTTGGAATTTATTAACAGCATAAACTCACTTTCAGTGGGATATTTTTAGTAGCATTTTGATATTTTTGGTAGTATTTTAAGCAGGTAAGTCAAGAACACTGAAGCTGAACTAAGATTTTAACAATTTTAAACTCCAGTAAAACAAAAAGACCCCCTCAAACTACTCAGTATGAAACTTTAGCCTGCAGTTCCCCAAATTAAACTTTAAAAAAATCAATTCACTGATCTTTTATATCCCTCTAGTAACAACAACTTGGGGTGGTGGAGGTGTAGAACTTCTTTATTATTTTCTTTAAAACTTTAACGTTCCTTTAAATCCCAAGATGCTGAGCAAACTCTACTGCCTGGTACACCAACATGCCATAGCCCCCCCACTTGCTTCCTATAAAAATTCTTATTTTAATTGTTTTCAAATTGACTAGTACATTATTTATTCCAGCAGCAGGGACAACTAGAGGTATCAGATTCTTACACAGATTTAATGAACAAACAAAAAATGTAGAGTGTTGTAACTGATACTGCTCTTTCACGTCTGTCAGGCATTAAAACAGCAGTAAAAAGGACAGCAAAGCAGAAACAATCTGCTTGTCTTCAAAGGGTAGGCAGCTTATCTGCTACAGGCTGCAAGAATGCAGCAGAAGCAAATCCTGACCCTAAAGCACCTGTGCTCAGCTGCAGAGAAAGGAGGGGTCTGCCCCAAAACTCTACTCTGTGCTCCCTTGCAAACAAAGGCAGACACAGTGACTCCATTAAGCTGACCCAGCTTTTCTAGCTGTTAGCCACAATACTCAACAACACACGACCATTCCACTTCCAAAGCAACTGCTTTCTACTCCACTCTACAGCAGCTACGGTTTCTTCAGTGTCTGTCAGAGGAAACTACAGTTGGTACAACTGCCAAGGACTTGCTCAGAGCGCTTTATACAAGCGCCTCTTCCTCCAGGGACTGCATGTCCATGAGATCCTTGGTCAGCAAGCCTGAAGGCACGCCCAGAAAAGTGAAAGCCAAGTGCTCCTTTACCAAAGCTTTCTCTGCCAGCTTCGCTGATATTCTACACCCAAAGGTGCTACTTTGCTCAGCAAAGAGCAAGGGATAACTTTAGAGAAGACAGAAAATTGAAAGATGATGCACCAGCTATGTAAGGATGAAAATTCAAACGCTTAATACTTGAGCATCATTTTAACTTCAGCCTTCTGAAGGCTGGCTCTTCCTCCCATTGCAAAAAAGCTGTCAGTGTCACCTCTGACCCTCTGCCACCTCCTTGAGATACTGAACAACACTCTAATCATGTCAGGCAGCTGTAAAATCATCTCCTCTCCCCTAGATGGTAGATCTGCATCAACAATATAATAATTCTTTTAATTCAGCAATTTAAAAAAATCCTTTCTTATTTATGTAATGATAAAGAAAACAAGGGCTAGAGCTTTTAACAAGATAGTCCTAACAGGACCACTCCTCATCTTTAATTAAAACCAGGTCATCACACCAGCTTCGGGATGGGAGCGGAAAGGAACAAAGTCTGTAACAAGCACAACATACTTGCCCAGTGCTCCATACCTTAGTGCTATGCAAATCTCAACTTAGTCTACAATTGGAAAGCCACAATCTGAAGTCTAGCTATTTAAGAAAAGGCCTAAGGAGTGGTCTTACAATATTTATGTTCCACTGTCTCCAAAGAAGAAAGAGATTACTTACAGATCTGACTACAGGATATCATAATAGCAAAGCAAAAGCTTACGTTAAAATTGCTGCTCTTCTTCCTTTAAGCGTTATTCCACTATTTAAGCATGTCAGATACTGCCAGTGGCCCTACTGCATCTCCACAGATTAAATTAAGGGGAAAAGTTCTAAAAAACACTGGAAACACTCTAAACTTTGCTTTCCAAATAGCTGCTGCTGTGTAATTTATCAACTAAAAACTTATAATTATGGAATTCAATCAATTTAAAACTGCTGGATTTGAGTCAGAAAAAGATTTTTTTCAGTCATCAGAACACCAGGATGACTTTAAACAGGAAAGGATGCAGAAAATTTGATTTCTGCAGTGATTACAGACCATGTTGTTTTTTCATATATGTCTGCAATAATGTTTGCATAGAAATGAATTGCTATAGGTTGCTGAAGGTGTAACTGCTCTCTCACTACAACAGAGCAATACATTATACTGAAAGGATTTGATTTCTGCTGGAAAAGCTGTGATTCAGTATTACTGGAATGGAGAAGACAAGTGTTATAAGAATGCTGCAATAGGTTATATGCCTGTCCTCTTCTTGCTACTGAGATCTGTTTAGGTACTTTAGGAGAAGCTCTTGTTACTAGTTTTCTCCCTCTTTCCTTCATACTTTCCCAACCCTTCTATACACATAGTCAATTTACACTCAACACACTTGAATAGTTTTTAATTTTCCAAGATCACATTAGCACATCAAACTATGATTTTACATATGCACAAAGAAGCATAACAATGAGTCTGAATTTCTGGTTATTTTTCTACTATTGGAAATCTAATTCATGTTGAGAACATGCCAACTGATACTTAAATACTGCTTACTGTAATATGCTCATCTTCAGCTGCAGTCCATGCAGTACTTCTATCACTCTCTGAACATCACCAAGAAGCTGGTGAGTGGCTACTATCTTCTTGGCATTCTGGTGGGAATAATTTTCTTCCAAAAATGCTAAGCCATGCATGTGACCATTACTTAACCACTCCTTCTCATACCAGTACTTTAAGCTGGACCTCTGACCTAAAGCAACAGTAATGAGTGTGTTAAAAAGAAGCATTAATTATGGCATGTTAACATTACTGGTAGTAATTCTGATTATCTCAGTCTTGCAACAGCTTATTTTTCTGATCAACAATATGAATAAAGATCCTTTAATAGCAGACAAAACCCTGAAGACATGAAGAACTTGAAGTGGGAAGCAAGATGGTAACCTCAGTCAAAAACCTCTGCCCAACCGTAAAAGCATTCAGACCCAACGCCAAAGGACATCCACAACAGGTAATTGCAGCTGATGCACAGAGAAAAGTGTATTTTTAGCAGGGTATCACACTGTCTAGTAGCCATGGTTATAACTAAAGCTACAGTTTGAATACAGCTCTCTGCAGGCAGAAAAATGCAGCAAAAGGCAGTGAACTTCCCTTCTCCAGTGGTCTTGTTTTTAAGTATCATACATGTATTAGTACAGTCAGTGAAAAGTAAATTTTAAAGGAATCACTGATGAGGTTCTTGCCTAAATCAGGCTATTAATATGCTAATTCTAGTGTAAGAGGCTGGAATATCAACAACAGCTGAAATGAAATGGTGTTAAATGTGATAAATACATCAGTAACTTAAGAAGCCCAGCAAAATGGTATTTAGTAGAAAGAGTGGAACTTGAGATGCTTGCTAAATTGCAAAAACACACAAAAAAATGCAAGCCAGAAACCCAACAAAAGCCCACACCCCCCCTGTAAAATGTATTGTTACAAGATGTTCTCAGAAGACAGTTCAGTGCTCTGAGAAACACGACATTGTTCACTGGCCTATATACAGCCCAGTCAGCGAACAGGCTCAGAATGCTATTCACAAAAAAAGTCTCCAATATAAGCAGGTTAATATTGACTGGAAGTTTCAGCAGTTAAGGGGAAGCTTAAAAAAAAAAAATTACAAGGCAGCAGAGTAAGAGCAAGGGATGGCAGTACATGCACATGAGGCAGTGTCACTGCCCATGCAATTAACTTTGGCACAACAAAGCAGAACAACTCTGGAAGCTGTACCGAGAAATGAGCAGAACTTGGTCACATGTATGTATATGGATGGCAGCTAGAGAATAGCAGTTTCTATGGCATGCCCTGTATGAACACCCGTGGGACACTTCAACACTTAAACTCAGTAACAACGCTCTGTCTCAGTAACGGAGTCAAAGCAAGCCAGTGCACTTTTAAGCACACTCAGCCGCTAGGCTGTGTAGGACAATACTCACTGTTTTGAGGCAAGAACTCCAAAAAAACAAAGAAAAAAAAAGGAAAAAAAAAGCAACACAGGGAAGAATGAATCATCAAGGCTATAACATCTCAAATTTTCAGGCACAGATCTTCTAGGTATGGGCAGAATGCCTTTGGAGACACGTGTTTATTTTTGTATTAGAGAAGCTACCATTTGTGACAGAAAATGAAGTTCAGTCCATACGAATAAAATCGTGAATTTTAGAACTCCATAGTCATCCTAACAGCACTGAGATTATCCAGCTGATGCCCATCCACATCACTGTTTACTTAGTGGTGTACTTGACAAAAAGTGCTCTCTTTCTAGATGTACAAGCTGAAGAGAAGACACAAGACAATATCCAACCATGGATGCTCTCTATGGCTTGAATGAATCTGTCACATCATAAGCATCTTGATAACATCCTGATAATGTTTAAGCAAGGGTAAATGTTAACAAATGTCTTAAAAATGCCACTTGACTCAAAAAACCTGTCTAAAAATGACAGTTGGTACAGTTTTTAGGCCTAATTACACTAAACTTGCTTTTAATTCCAGTCATATGAATGGCGCTGTCAGAAGTCCCAGCACTAAACCGGGGAAAACTCCTAAATAAGAGTCTGTCGAATGGCCATACCCAGTTTTAAAAGCAACTTCTTTGTAGATGCATAAAGCCTGTTCAGCTCTTTTCAAGCCAACAGCAGACTCACTGAAATTGAGAAGCCACTTCTGCAGTCAAAAAGTTGGATATGTTTTCCTTTTTCAGGACAGAGGTAAAAATTAAGCCCAAATAAAAGTTCCAGGATCTTCACAGCAATAGTTAATAAAAGTGATTAAACTAATGAAGCAAAGTGTTAGTTGTACTATGTTTTGACCAAAAAGCATTCTGATAAAGTTTCTTACTAAATGCAAATAGTTCAAGTGTGATGGCACAACTTCAGTTTGCATGTGCACTTTAGTTTAACTAACTCAAATTGACACAAAGCAAAGCAAAATATCTCGCAAATAGAGGGTTAAAATCCTGGATGCAAGATACTGTAAAAAAGCCTTAAATAAATGTTAAACTGTTTTACTACTTAGGTAACTGAATGTAAGCAGTGTGTCCTCCTGCTAGGAGTACAAACATCAGTATACAAACTACACAGATCAATGCGTTAAGCTACTGAAGACTTGGTAGTTTTAAATAGCCAAAAAGCAGCGATTGCAATCCAAATATGTACATAAACCAAAAAGGTCTCGTGATTAGGCAGAGATTACATTTTCTCATAATTTATGAACGTGGACTCAAGTCCAAACCCCATGTGCTTCCACATTCAGTGGGGCTTTACAGTTCATGGAGTGGGAAGTCAGAAAAGATACACACAGTTAAGTGTAATTTTACCTGCTGCATAAGATGGACTCAGGCATTTTAAAATACACAGTTAGGAGTAGAGAACATATTGCTTCAACTCTGACTGCATTACCCAAGATAATTCATTTTTGTATTTGTATAAGATGGATTGCAGGTGCCTTTCCATAACACGCACGAGCACATCAGGGCTGTTGAGAACCGTGAGACTCTTGCTGAGTTATTTTAAAGAATACGTAAGCCTGGTCTTGGAGGAAAGCTGCAGTCACATCCCGTAAGATGTGCCTGTGGGGAGTCTTTGCTTAAGTTTCCTGAGTGCTTCTAAATTCATTTTCCATAGACAGCCAGCACAATCCTTACAACTGGCAAATATGAGAGATGGTCATCACAGTTAAAACATTCATACATTCATTTCCATTCCTGTCCAGCTGTAATTCCACAATATTGACTCATGTACATTCACATAAATAAAACCTTCTGTATCTATAACTGAATTCAATTATCCATAATGACAGACACAGCTAGGGGAGCAAAAAAAAAAAAGATGTTTCAATCTCTGCAATATATATATATATATAAACACTAATAAATTTACTACATATATAAGAAGGCTCTGTAACCTTAAATTTCTGTACCTGGAGGATCTTGACAAATATAGCAGGTATATTTCTCAGGTACATTATCTTCCAGTAAACCCATACAGACTCCATGCTGCCAGCACAGACACTCTTCACACTGTTTAAAGTCAAGAAGTGCACATCAACAGAAATGAAGCCTACAGGAGCTCAATAAGATTACCTCAATTAAGAGACATCATCTACATATTTTAAGACAAAAAAGTGTATTAATACCCACCCCCTCTTCCAGCTACAAGCAAAAACATCAAAGAGTCAGACTACAATCAGATTTGAACCCTTCCCACACATTTTTCACATGGATTTCTGGAGAATGACAACAATTACAAAGTGGAAGCAGAGATCCTGAAAGGTGCAAAAATGTTCCTTTTGGAGATCAAGATCTTTCACAAGATGCACACACACATAATCAGGACAGAAAACGGTATGCAATCAGTCTTTCCTTAGAATACATCAAGTTTTCTGAACTAAAGGGTTTACCTCTCCAACAGTAAACCACACTCAGTTATAAAATCCAAGGGATATTTACATCACAAAGGACTAGTCAATGTTATGCTTTACTAATACTTGTATCTCTAACATTTTATCTATTTGAAAGATAGCTCTACCAATATAAAACTCAAGTGCAGGTGCAATTGTACCAACTTTAAAAACTTCTGACATCCTTCCAAGTGTGAGCAATCATGTTGACAAAGACCAAAGATAATTTGGCCCTGCTTTTTTAGTGCACTTATGCTATTTCAAATGCAATCACTGTACTTACAGCCATACAGCTTTAGAGCAGGAAAACTGTATCCACCTGCCTCTCGCCCCCCCTTAAACAAGCAGGCAACACTTCAACTGTAGCCTAAAGACCACTGAAACATGGGACAAAACCTCACTTAAGAATTTTAAGTCAATTCTGATTTGAAGCTGGTGTCAGTTCAGAATTACTATTTTCACAAGCGGTGAGACAATAGATAACCTTTACTTCTCAGAGCACAAGCCAAAAGTTTAATGCAGAGATCTTACCAATACTGGCAAAGGTTTTCAAAATGATCTAAACCAAACACAAACAGCAACTGCAAGCAATCTTAGATGCTGTTCTTCACCAACCTACAAAGATGCCAACTTGATAAACATCTCACTGGTGTTGAATACCACTTGATACCACTTCTGTTAATACTTTTATCTGCTGCCTTTCCTCAAGCTAGGAGAGACAGAAAGAGAGCACCCGTTTTTGAATACATCCTTGTATTAAATTAGTGGTATAGGTGTGGAGGAAATAGAAGCACTGGGAAGGAAGAATATAAAAGGTTAGAGAGAAACAGATTTCTGAAAGATGGGACAAAATGTTTTGCCTTACAAAATGGGTAAGCTGTCCTTACAGCAATAAGGAGATGTTTTAAAAAAAGGCAGAGAGCCCATCCTCCTTCACAAAGATGATTAGTAGGAGCCAGAAAAAGGTGTCCTAAAAGGAAGAAAACAGATCAAGAAAAATAGACTGCGTGCTAAAAACAAGAAGGGAACTCCTGGACCTAGTTACATCATGCCATATGTCACAGAGCTACACTCAGTGAGTTTTCCAAGGAAGTTTGCCCAGAACTGTATGGGCATCCCAACTTTTTTTATTTTACCCAACTGATATTTAAGTATCCACCCCGTCAGTGCACAGGTCCTTCCTTTCATCTGCACGTTCTACCTCACGGCTTGGCTAACCAGGCTACTGCTCTGGACACATGCTACACAGAAGCTACCCCCTGCACAGGAGGGAGATTCAAACAAACCAAATAAGAGATTTTGAAAAGGAAAACCATGTAGAGTTGTGGAATAATATTTTAATCGAAGTTAAATTGCAAAAGAAGTAACCAAACCCAATGGACACATATTTAAAGCAGCTTTTCACCCACCAGAATAAAAATACCCCAAGTCCATTTACATCCGTCACCTCCTAGGACACCAAATTCAGCCTCAGCATTTTCTACATCACACACAAATTCACCAGTGTTTAGGTGTAAAAAACAAAAGGAAGGTACAAGGACCTTTTGTCTGCACTTTTTTGGGCCCAAGCCCTACCCCACAAAGGGAGTCCTGTTCCTTCAGAACGAACACGTGGCAATGCTAAGCTATTGCTTTAGTCAGGCTCCATAAATGAAATCTAGTAACCTCCTTGCAAAGTTATAGAGACTGGAATGAAGCAGCATTAACCAATGATATATTATTTTTTTATACTTTTTTCCAGTTTTAACTGCTACCAGTTGAGGCAGGTTCTTACTTTAAATGCAAAACCACATTTCTGTAGCCCAGTGTAATGAATGGTGATCTTTATGCACAAATTGCTCGAGACAATTTAAGGCAAGTTCAAGATAAAGGAAGAGGTTTTTTGCAAAATCTCTAACCTGAATTTTTTTGGGGTTTTATTATTAAAGACCTAAATGTAACAAACTCTCAGTTTAACTTTGCAAGAGTTTCACTAAACCTTAATAGTCCCCCAAATTTTCAGGAAAAAAGGGTGCTGCCTGTATTTAAAATTAACTTTTTTTTTTCCTCATTATTTCTAAATTGGGCACATTCATCGAAATGCAAAGAGTAAATGACTCACCATTCTCCCATTCTCCCTCTTGTAAGAGAGCACTATACCCGCCATCCTGGGAGGAAGGACCCTCCAGTCACCTGCGTGGAGAAACTGCCCTGGCTCCTAATCTTGATATGAAGTCATGGTAGCTTGGCACACAGGCACATGCGCAAGCAATGACCCCAAACGTCAGCGTATTTCAGCCAGATCTTGTCAAGAGTAATAAGCAGGGGCAGAATAAACACCTCAATGGAGACAAGTGCAAAGAATGACAATATTGTTCTAGAAACCCATACGCTGAAGAAAATTACGTATCTCCAGGAAGTGAGGGCAAGTCTAAATGCAAGTTCTTTAGGGCAGACACTTTCAATTCGAGGTTCCAAATATCAAATTAAGTCTGAGTAGGAAATAGGAAATAAATATTTCCTTCTTACAAAGTTATGACAACTACACAGGGCTCTCACTTTAAGTGTCAATCTCGGCACTACACCTCTGAAAAGATGAAAACAGGATCCCCTCTGTGTAACTGCAGAGTTGTATAACATAGCATCTTTGCTTTGTGTTAATCCTGTGTACTTAAAGAGCTAACTCAGGCATTTCTACAAGAGAACATATCAACAACAGAAGACCAGACTGTTCAAAACATTTTCCTAAAAACTACAGGTTGACAAAAGGCATGGGGAGCACAGCATTTGGTAACTTAAGCAAACCATCTGCCTAACCTCCTCCACCCCGCAACCCTTGTTACCAGCTCCTTGCTCCCCAATTCCTATTGCTTCAGTCCCTGTAACGTATGCAGGTGCTCAACATACTGTCGATCTACTTCCAGAGAGAATAACCTTCCCTCCTAGGCAATTCTTTTACAACACAGCTAAAGCGTTTAAAACTGTGCAATACACTCAAAAAGACCCCAAACTAGTTCAACCTAGAAAATGGATCTCAGAAGCAGCCTACAAAACCCGACATGAAAGCTATCCACAGACTGCGTCCTGAGCTAGCTGACAGTTCTCTGCATTCTGCAATCATAGACTAGTGTTGAGCCCACATTTGCCAGAAAACTATACTCCAGATTGTATCTTTGTGTTTTTCATTGAGCGATCTCCTCAGAAGGCAGCCAGCTCCCTTTATTCACAACTGGCAGGCTCCTTTCCCTCCTGGACGCTCAGATACTATTTAATTAATTTTGACCACTACCCATCACTGCACCCTTTCCTACTAATGCAAAAGGTGTTTCTTGTCCTGCGTTATCAGGATCCAACACTAATACAAAGGTGTCCGTCAAAACGAACTCAGCACAAAGAGAAAAAGTGTCACACCCTCCAGAGCAAACCTCCACAAAATAGTATGGAAGGCCAAAGAAAACTACCCAGTGAAGTTAGCTGTTAAAATTTGACTGTGGAGGACAAAAATCAAACTTTGCTGCACTAGCTAGCCCTATTAAAATGTTTAAAATTAGGCTGCTGGTGTTCAGAGCAAAAAAGGTGTTTTTACTGTCATGCTGCAGAAGCCAGTAATTCTTCGTGCTACAACTGAAACAGTACACCCCCTGCTCTCCTTAACGGAATGGAGGCATTCAAGCAATAAAGTGCCCCAGAAAATCATCATCAGCTGTAAGGTAGGTATAGATCCGCTTCTGTCTTTCCTCCTAGTTCCAAACAGCTAAAAAGAAACACAGTTCACAGTTACATGCCAGCAACTATCCCAGTAAGGGGTCCCATGAATTGGGATGCAAACCTCACAAAAATTAGTAACAGAATGCCTGGGAAAGTGAATTCAAAAGCTACAGATGGGATCAAGTTTCATGTGCTAGAAAAATATTTATGAAAACAGTGTCAGGCCATATCCTTTCACAAATAAAGCAACCTTCTCAAAAGACTGTAACAATTATATCAAAATTTGCAGTGAGCACAGCTGCAGAGCTCTACTATTGTCACTTTCAACTGAGGTCCCACAACAAGCAAAGAGTTATCTAGATAGGAAGGGTGGGAGCCCCCAAAACAGAACAAAAACCACTCCTTTCTTCAGAAGGGCAACTATGAAAAGCTCATGATCTACCTTCAAGAGCATCACACATGTAAGCCCCTGAATATGCTTCTTCAAAGACTTCAGGGGAATTACCAAAGGGGACCATGCAGCTCACGTAAGAAGTTGTGCAAAATGAACTAGAACAAAAAATACTGAAGAAGTTTTTTATTTGATACATCTGACTTCAGTATTTGAAATTACCAGGAACTGAGTGGAATGGCTCAGAGCAGCGATGTGGGGAATCATAGAATGGTTTGGGTTGGAAAGGACCTTAAAGATCATCAAGTTCCAACCCGCCTGCCATGGTTTCCTGATAATTTACAAACGTCTCAAAAAGTAAAACTAAACAGCCAGGGCAGTTCCTGAATGCAGCTCTGCTTCAAAACAAGAGACTCAAGTCATCATTTTGGTTTTTTGTTCATCCTGTCTGGAGGATTGTACGTTTAAGTCATCTAGAGGATTGTATGTTTAAGTCAAGGTTCTTGCCAGGGCAGAGACATGGAAGGATATCACCATCTCATGGCAATGTTCTGAACACGCTCAGAATTAGAGGGGAAACAAAAATGCCAGATAAAAAGCCACTGATTTTAAACAGGTATGCAAATCTACAAGCAACAAGCTAACCATTAATGGTTTGTAGAGAATCATCCCACTTCCTCCACTTTCCTTCAATTAAAAAAAAACAAACGGAATATTTTCACAAACTTTATCAAAAAGCAAAGTTTTCCATCCATCATATCAGCTGCTCACCCTGACACATTATCTTAAAGAATTCTGTGATTTCAGAAGACAACAATAGTTTATTTCATGTACAGAACATACCCATGCGTATTTCTACAACATCTTTTCCACTGACACCTGCCACTGTATTCACCAAAATGTGCATTCACCCTCCACTTCATACCTGAATCATGAAGTCATTTTCTTCTTTTACTTCACAAACACACCGAACAATCTCAAAATCACTTTCTTCAACTTCTTCATCAGGGTTCGTGGTTACATCAACATCCTGACTGCAGTCATCGTCACTCCAAAGCAAGCTATCCATAGATGACTCACTTAAGGTGTCATCCTCTGTACAAAAAGTAGTTAGATAAAATCCCGAGTAATTACAAAAAGGTCAAATAACTCATTATTTCACCCTAAGTGTGCAGACACACATTTCTAAAAGCATGAGTTCACCGTGTAATTTAAGGAATATCATTATGTTACTACATTATATACTAACCTTCAATAAACAGTTTATTGAACGTTACTACATAATGAAGTTTTATATTGTCATTAATAACTCCTTCAAAAGATTCCAACTTAACAGCTTCTGTCATTAAAATTATACTCTCAACATACAGTGCCTCAAACCAAAGTCACAAAGTCTCTTTAGACAAGTATAACAAAACCAGATTTATAAATTCAAATGGGACTCATATTAGATGCTGCAATTTGTACAGAATTGTGAGGTTACTTTAAGTGCAGAGCTCCCAAGAAGAGAGAAGAGGGTTCTGTCTTACGAACCATTCCACTTCACAAAGCAATGTCTCCATTACAGAAACATTCAGAGTCCAACAGAGAATTTAATCCTGCTTCAGAAATCATTACTTTCATTTAGACTGCTGTTGAGGACGCATTTATGAACTCAGGGGCAGGGTGCTGACCAAGGGATTCCTTAGGAATGCTCCCATGCTACTTAGAGCATTAGTGCATCTCTGCAGATTGATTAGAACTGCCCAGAAAATCGTTATTAAACAACACTCTAAATCGAGATTCTTACCTCAATAACATCAATGCCATGTCTACACCTTCCTTGGGGATGGAATGGGAGGGTCAGAGGGAGAAGGATTTTAATTATTTGGGAAATACTCTAATGAGCTGGAGGAGAGTGGAAGATAGAAAATTTAGTCACTCTTAACCAGATTGTTGTCTCTCACCTACATTGGTTAGAACTATTTTGATCAGTTAGCCCTTACAACAAGACAGTAGAACTGGTATAAACTAGACCTTTTTGAGGAACATTGGTTTGCAAACTTAAGGGGCTGAGAACTCAATGCATTAGTTAATTTCCATTGTTAAAAGTTTTATTTCACCTCTGAGATACAACACTTTCCTGAAGCAAGTCTGGAAGCAACAGGCTAAGCCACTGCACTTTCCTTCTACACAAGAGTTTTACTACTGCTTACACCAGATCTTATTTGTATAGGCACTGCTTTTGTTGTTAGTACAAGTTCTGCAGATGCAAAAAGCAGCAAAGCAATTGTGAACAGGATGAAATAAAACCTTTCCCAGTATTTTTGACCTCTTTCAGTGTTTATGAACTGATCAAAGGACATCTGAGCAACTGATGGCCAAGTTACTAAACTGCAAGTACATTCTAGGGCCAATATGCTCCAAAAAACACAACTGACCAGCCTTGCAGAACGAGTTTTAAGACATTATCCCCAACTGCACTACAGTAGTTCTTAATGTTTCCTCTTTTCCCTATATAAGGGAATTAACTGAAGTTAATACTTACATTTTGGCTAATACCAAACAATAAAACAGTTGTGTCAAAAAAAAAAAAAAAAAAAAAAAATCAAGTGGTCACCAACAGTCTATCTGTACAACAAGGAATTTAAGATTCCTGTACATAATCCAGCTGTCATACATTTCTCGTTTACTTCAAATTTGTGAGCTTGAAGAATAACAAAAGAACAAAATGTCAGTCTTCCTTTTTTATTGTATGGGCTTGTGAAAGGAAATAGCAAGATACACCAAGATATTAAAAATTGTGAAAGCTGGAACACAGCAGACACATTTTTATGAGTTTTGTTTATGAAGTACTATGAAGGCACTAATAAATAGTTAGTCAAGAGCTTCTCATCATTATGAGGCTCAGAAAGTCATTATAACCATATATCATACTATATACAACTACGCCTAACCACAGACAGTGGTCTCTTCAAACACAGCACACATGCTATATAAAATTTGCAGAGCATCCATTTTTAACTCTGAATGAGTTATTCTTTTGAGGAAACCTAAGGAAACATGAGAAATTTAATTACTGAAGTCTGAACATTACTATTGTAGAGTTTAATAACATGCTGCAGAAGGTGTAAAATGAGTTTGAATTCTGAAAAAAGGGCAGCGGTCTTAAAGCTTCTGTGAAGGTAAAGTCAAAGCAAAAAGCAGTAACATCAAGCAAATTAACTGGGTTCGCCTTCTGCAGGCAGGGGAAAGGAACACATGCAGTCCTGCATAAGAATAGTCAAGTCTACATTACGAGTACCAGCTTTTGTGTGTATTAGTGCAGCTCACACATTCACCTATAATTCAAGAACCAGCAAGCCATAGAAGAGAGTCATCTTACCATTTGTTTTTGATTTTCCTCTGTGCTGTCCAGAATCAGAGCACTGTAGCAACGTGCTTGGGTGGGCAGATGATTTATTTGAAGAAATACATTTTGTGACAACTGATTTTTCAGGAGAGAGCTCCTGTGAAATGTCTGTGTTTTCTTCACTGCCGGAGTATTCTGTCAAATTGTAAGTAGTGTTATTATTAGAAATCTGTGGTCAAGAAAAGCTGACAGAAGAAAAAATGGCACCATGCATGCCCATGGCAGGCATGTGTAAATTCACTGAGAGTTTCCACCTCAACATGCCAGGACTTGAGGACCTCACTACTCGCAAGCTTTCTAGAGGCAAGAAAGTTATTGTCTGAACCAGAAAAATCTAATGCAGTTCAGCCAGCACTGGTGATGGAAAAGAGAAAGGACAAAAAGACTGGTTAGTTAAACCTAACTGTTCTTCAGGGTTAATATGTCTACAAACACTTTTGCATTACAGGTACTTCTACACAAGCCCTGTTAGCTGGAGCCCTCTCTCTCGCATCCCACTGTTAGTCACATGGGCTACACACATTCCCTCATCTCACACAGCGGACAGAGAGCATCTCTTCTGTTCCTTGCGGATGCATGGAACAGGATGCGTGGGTGGAAAAGCCCTGATGAGGAACATGGGGAGAAAACACCTAGAGCAGTTCCTGTGGGAAGTACCCACTCATCACATCCTGGACTGTACCCAAACCAAGGCTGCCTGCAGCTATAAGCCATACCCTCCAAACAGTCGCCTGGAGAAAACCTTCAGAGTTCCTGACTGAAGAACCACAAGGGCAACATCACAAACTCCTCCATAAGGAGCTCTAGTTTAACAAATTATGCATGCCAGAGTGGAATGTGCTGCATTAACAATCCTAGACATCCATGAATGGCAGAGAAAGTGACCACACTTGACCTGCCAACATTTAACTAGAGAAACCTTTCTAGATCACTTGTGGTTTTCAGAAGTCAAGAACCCCATCTCCAGTAACACCTGGGCCTACATATGAAGTTCAAAGTATAAAGTGACCCAAGGAAAGCATTCCCAAGCCTCTGTAGATGAAATCAACAGACTAGACATGTCCGTACTACAAGCAGCATGTTACAAAACACAGGAGAAAGACACAGCATGAGTACAGACTTTAAATCGAGCTTTTACTTCATCTCACCAGGAGAGGAGAGATTTATCCTTTAGGAAAAAAAATTTAGGCTGCAACAGGTTTAACAGTGCTCATTTTTACAGCCTCTGAAATCCCATACTAAGTAGAAATGTAAGAAATGAGACAGTTAACAGCAGAAAAAGAGAACCCATCAACACTTCCAAACTCCATCATTCATATACAAGCCCCAAAACTAACTCATGTAATTGAGAACATACGGTACATGGTGTACTTGGGTAACAAATCAAGGGGATCTGCACCCTCTTTAACTGGGTAAAACTTGCATAGAAGTACACTTGCTAATGAAAAGACAGACTTAAAGATTGACATATTCATTTTGGAGTTAGATACAAGCACTATTGTTAAGTTATAACTAACACATCAATGAAGAAAGCAGTCTTCTCTGCAATGCTTGCTCTTAAGAGTGTGGTAACAGCCAAAACAAAATATTGAAGCCATTTTCCTCTACAGAAGAAAAAAGAGCTTTACCAGGCTTAGTTCTCTTTTTCTTTTTTTTCTTTTTCTTTGACTTGGACCTTCCGTAGTCTTTGGATTTTCTTTCTTTGTTCTTCTCATGTTCTTTAACAGCTGAAATTAGACAACATTCCAATTTAATTTTTTAAGATATATATAAACCTATTCTATTTATCAATTTTCTTAAAGACCTCCACAGTTTTTCTGGACAACCAGGGACAGTTCACCGCCAAAAAAGAAAAAGAAAAAAAACATATTTGTAAGAATTCCCAGCTCTCATAATTGGAATGGTCTGGTTTAAGTTTTAATTTGATTGTCCCACCACAAAATTACGATAGCATGTTGGGGAAATCAACTGTACACCAATGCCCACTTACTACTCACCTGCTTCCGAGATTATTAAAAGAGTAAACACTGGGGGATTTGTTATATCTGTTTTCTAAATTTTTATGGCTGAACATTTCAATAGCACTGACAGAATTCTGACAAGAACAAAACAGCAACCCCCCCCAAACTCTAGTGGAGTTCCTCAGTCAAATACTTAGTTTTCATTGAAAATGGAGTAACAGCTAGTTCAGTTGGCTTTAACGGCTGTTCTCTCACCATCTGCTCTCCATTCTATTTTTATAAGAATTAAAAACACCATTATTTTCGAATGATTGGGTGATATCTTTCAATCAAGTCCATCCTCAAATCATGCCTCCAGAGCACTTGCCATGAAGTATAACCCCACTGCAATGTTATGTGCTTTCCACACGCCAGCATTTGTTTACAACTCCTGTTTTCAGATTTGCGTTTCTGCAGCAGAATTTCTAGACACTCACACAGTTCCTCAGGTAAATTATCCCAACTGAGCCAAGACTATAGGTGCAACCATAAAATCTCCCATGGAAGGATGCCTTGCATCTGAACAGGGCTCTGCTCTCAGTGTGTTCAGCTGACTCAGCCATTCACCCTTCCATTTAGAACCTATGTCCATTCTGACTGTTGATATCAGAATAAAGACCTAAAGACACTCTGTACTGTAAGAAACCTTCTCCTGCACCAAACATTTAAGAACCCTAGCTGGTTTGTAACCACCCGCGAAGCAAACCAGCAATACCCGTGTATTATGTTAACCCCTTTCCTACATGCTAACAGTAACTCCCCAATTCGCAGTCTAAGGCTACAGACGTCTGGCACAAACAGCTCGCTCTGAGAACCTGCAAAACTCAGTCACATTTTACCAGCTGTGATGAGCATGCAGGAGACATGCTGATCAGCTCTTCCTCAAGAGTCTTCAGCTCTGTATCTCCCCATCTTCTTAGCCCTTGAACATCTCCTGCTACCTTGCTGCTTCTGTTCCTCTTTCGGCATGTCATCAGCGACAGCTGCTGAAGCTGTGCCTTGCCAGCAGCCGCACTAACTGCCGACATGGATTGCAGCCTGCCATGCCAACAGCCCATCATGACCGGCAGCACGAAAGAAACTTCATCCCCTCTTCATTACCATTTGTTGAAAGGGGTTAAAAAAAAAAAAAGAAAAAAGAAAAAAGAGGTTCATATTTAAGTCCCAGCACAGAGCTTTCAAGTTCCTTGCTACTTTCCTTTGTCCTCATCTCCTAGTCCTCCAGAGGTCAGGATCCTCCTCTGAGTACTATTTCCTTCTCCCTGCTCATACACAGGGATGTAAGTTCTGTCATTTTATTCTTCCATAAGGTCACAGAGAGAATAATGGAGGTCAACATAGGTGGGAAGATTCTGCATCTTTTCATTTGAAAATTGAAATTTGCATGGTCACATCGTCTGATTTAAGACATCCAAGAGCACAGAGTATGCTACTTCAGTCCCTATCAACATATCCATGATAAATATGGAACAAAGTGACAATTCTGGCCACACTTTTTCCCCTTTGAGCTTGCCAGTCCAGAATTGTCACTTTGTTCCACACTTTTTCCCCTTTGAGCTTGCCAGTATGCCTTTTAAAAATCCAGAAAAATGCAAGTATTTGCAAATTTCTGTGTATAGCTATCTTAATAACAGCACACAGTTAATGCAGAATTTTTTTTCCTAAAAAAGATGTCTGCAAAGAATGAGTATTATAAAAGGGACCTTCTAAAAACCCTGTACCAAAGAATCTTTTTATCTCCAGCTGGTTCTTGTAAGCACTCTGAAGCATAATGAATTCTAACTCAAAAAAAGACCAGATGAGGTGGCTACCTAGATTAGGAGCATCCTCATAGATTCACCTTACCAAAGAGAAAGGTAAAGTGCCTTATATAATCCTAAAAATTCATCACACAACCACCACAATTTTAAAAAGGATTTTTTGGGAAAACCATAGAAAGCCCTAAGCCCTCTCATCTCCTTCAACAGCAGAGACACCAACAAGGACCAGGATGGGTACTCAGTCATGTCCTCCAGCACCACTGTGAAAGTTTATTCTAATCTCTACATGCCACACTCTCAAATAACAAACGTCTCACTGAGTCAGCCCAATGAAGAGACACTAATGGATCTCATTCAGACTGCCCTACAAGGGAAGGCAGCAAAGGATGTCCAAGAACAGAGGTGGCAAGTACTGACTGACTGCTGTCACCAACAGAACAACACAGTCACAGGCAAGTAAGGTGAACTTCTCAAGACTATCTCCAGAAAAAAAAAAATCACCTATTACAGACAGAATAGCCTACACACAGATTTTTTGTTTTCCTCATCACTGTGACTCAAAGCCTCACAACATATCTGAAGGGAAGTGGTGATGTAAATCTGGAAGCATGCTGGAAATTATGTATAGATTATTTATATATATACAAAATATATT